AATATAGGGCACTGTTTTGCTTAATCATGGAACTCCTTTGGATTCCCCAATGCTTCTTCAGCAAAATAATCTTTTATTAAACTTAAAGACAGGTGATGGTTTTCTCGATGCATGTCAAAATGACATATCTAGCGTTTCTGTTCTCGGCTCCAGCATTCCTAAAAGTAACTTAATGAAATTGAATGAAAATCGTCTCAGTGAAAATTATAACGGTCAAATTATTCCGGGTAAAGTCAAAATTGAAAATCAAAGTAATATTACACGTGCTGTTTTAGCTAACAATGCACTCAAAAATAGCCCACAGCTTGCATCTAAATCGAATAACAGTCAGTTACCTCAACCTAATAATGAAAACATGAATATGAGAGTTCCATCAAACTACTTTAGGGCATCGTTACCACCACTTCCTCCAAGTATAACCAATTCACATAGTAGCTCAGCTACTAGCCCTAATACAAACTCTTCAATAGAATCAATTAAGAGATATTCCATCAATAACTCCAATAAGAGCTCAAAAGAAAATATTCCGATTCCAACCCAAAAACCTAACGATTTTGAAGACTCTAACCGCTCATATCCGCAAAGGACTGTTGGGGATGAGCCTTCTAGCATGAGTAATTCATTAATGAATAATTTCTATTCAAGACAACATGGAAATAGCTTGAAAAATACCACAACTAAGCTGTCTAATTCGTTAGATCCAAAGAGTTCACTTGTACCATCTCCTTTGAGTAGTTCAAAATTACATAAAGATCCTGCCAGAACTAGACCTAGATGGCACTTCGGAATTAGATCCAAATCTCAACCTTCTGAGGTAATGCATGAAATTTATAAAACTTTAAATTATCTCGGAATGACATGGAAAGCTTTTGATCCTTATCATATTCGTATAAAATACGTTCATGATAAAGTAGATAGCTCGTCTGAAAAAATTCAAATAAATGATAACGATTCTAACAACTTTTTAAATATTTCAAACACTGATTCGATTTTCAGTACAGGAGTAAAAAGAAAATCTAACTACAATTCATCTTACTCAAATACGCAAAATAAATATAATCATAAAAGTGATTGTATTGTAACCAAGGTTGACTTACAACTATACAGAGTTGATCAACGCAATTACCTTGTTGATTTTCGTGCTGTTGTACCAATTTCTTCTCCAGCTACAAAAAAAGCGGCACTTGAAACAGAGTCTGGAACGCTCCCGTTGATTCCTGACCCGATAGATATAGCTTCTGTAAACTTATCATTATCAAAGTCACTTTCTAAATCTGGTGCAGGGCTCAAAAGTCTGTATAATAATCAATCATCAATAACAAATGTAAATTTTGAATCATTGCGTGTTTCTGATAACATTGCTACAAATAATGGATTCAATACAAACGCTCCAATTCAGACATCCAATATCTCACATTCTATCCCGCAATTACATATTCAAGATTCAAATCAAGACATGGATATGATTTTTGACAGCGAAATGGATGTTTCTGTTGAAAATGACTCAAAGAAGACAAATCAAATAAGTAGAATTTTAAAAGATATTGAAATGCCTGAAAAACTAGATATAAATGCAACTGGGGGTAAGCCATTACCTACACCGGCATCTCTGCCTGGTTTTGAAAATATAATTCAAGGATCAAGTATTCAAAGCTTGCCGACATATAGCATCCCTGAAAATGCACAAAACCAGTCACATGAGATCATTGCTTCTATAAATTCTAGATTAAGTTCTGGATTTGCATTTTCACTAAAAAATGACTCTCTACCAACAACTCCTATGAATATACTTGGGAACGCTCAAAATTCATTGCCTACCTCATATAACCCGTGTAGCTTTAGAAATAGTAGCATTTCTACTCAACAAGAGATTGCTAAGGGGTTATCAGTAAAAAAATCACCTTCTAATTCCAGTGGTCAAGTTTTTAATATTTTCCCATTTTTTGATGTTTGCTCTAAGTTAATATCTAGATTAGCAGTACCTTCACAAAAAAATTGAATCTTGACTTTTAATGTTCTATTTTATATTTTTATACCTATTCTTTTCAAAAAAAATATATTTTATTCTATATTATTAATTTATCAAGTAAAGTAAATCACTGCTTTCAATTAATTTATTATTTTTTTTATATGAGTTAAACAAATTGTTTTACAGGTTTTATTATTTATTTTATTAGTTTCCATATTCACTTTAATTAAAACCCAGTAAATATCCAGCTATAAACACCTTTAACACTTGATATCTATACAAGCTACCAATTTAATTCAATGAGTGTC